GCAATAATTATGTTGAACATTATTAATTGTATATGACAAAACGTATGAACGATATATGGAGTTGACAGCAAGTTGTAAAGAGTATAGTTGTTACACTGAAGATGCAATTTACCTGTAAAATTAAGCTCTTCGATATCCGATCTAAAAATCGATTCCCGGTTGAATGGTGTCTGTAGTACATCGGGAACTTCGTCGTTTTCTTCGAGAAACGTGTGCTTATCTTCCGTCAGCATTAAAATGCTTAGCGACCTGAATTGTGGGATATCGATAGTCGAAAACATTACTTCAAGATTAGACCGTTCTTCGCAATGATCTTCAATAGTGACAGTTGGATATTGAAAGTAATGACAAGATTCCATGCTAAAGTATATTACAAGATTCCATGCTAAAGTATATTACAGCAACCGGTCCTACACTGTTGTGATGTTTTGTAGTATGATTGTGGAATGCAAAATGTCCGAGATTTTATATACAGCAAAACTAAGGAATTGCATAATTTATCACATTTCACGGAGTTATTGTCTGTCATCATTTACCACATTGTGTTGTGCCATAGAATTATTTTGTCGGCATGGCGAACACAAAAGAGGTGCTGAAGAAGTGATTCAATAAAAGCGCAGCCAATCAGAAGGATTTTCATCGGCTTTAGTGTGAGGGCGTTTTCCTTTTGGGTGTATGAAAAGAAATGTGCATTTCAGTCGCATGTTATAAACCATTGGATTTGGAATAAAATAGCATCGAACATTCTTGCTTGTATTGTACAAAATAAAACTAAGAAATTAATGCGAAATGATGACTGAAATGAATAATTGTCTCCTGGACGGAAGTATCAAAACCCCCGGATCAAAACTGAAATAGTCACGGTGAAAGCCGAACTGGGGTCAGTATGGATAATTAAGGACTGTCCGTCATGGGGTACACGCGAATCAGAACTGCAGCTACACCATTACTGTTAAAACTATTATAACTGTGGATCCAATTGCAGGGCCATCTAAAAATATCGATATACACGTGCATGTGTGAGAGGCGGAAAATTAAATTCTCAAATAAAAACAAAAGTGTTTATTGTTGTTGTCAACTGGCGCTGTTTCGTTTCCCTTTCAAAACCAGGAAGTAATAACCAGTAACTTGTTTATTTAGCGATGCGTGTTTGTGAGTCAACACTTCGCGAATTCTATAAGATTTTTCTGCCACTTTCAGGCCACGTGATGTTAAATAGAACTCAATGTACATTACATTTCGGAGTTTCCTTTCGCTGGAGTGTTGAAATTTGAACAACCAAACATTGAGAAATTCAAGATGGCTACGGTTGATTGATTGTTCGGGTTCGATACATCTAGTTTACCTTCATTAAAGCTGATTGGAGCGATGAGTAAAGAGAGTAAAATGGAAAAGAAGAGTAGTCAAGAGTTGCTGGAACTTGAAGAGAGGAAAACTGGGAAGCATTCCCGACAAGCGAGCGGTACAAGTTTAGATTCTCTGACGAGCAGCGATCGACCGTCTTCCAAATCCCCGACGTCGGCCTCATCAGGATCGCCTTCGACAGAAAATCTGGAAGCCCAGGAGTTGAAGGTAATGATGTATTCCTTTCAATATACTTGTTTCCTCGTTTGGTGTCTTCGTGTTACATATAGCCTTGGTGGTCACTTGAAGTGAATACCAGTTTATTTTCTGGGTGTGTCCCAATCTACTGGAATGCTCCAGCCGTGGACTTGCCCTGCCCATGAGAATAAATCAACATTGTACAAATGTACAGGAAAAAACTTGCGCATGGGAAACCATTATAGACACAAAATCATTTGCAATATTCAACAGCATAAAATGTTTTCAGATTTAAATTGATTTGATATAAACAATCAAAGAAAGCTTAGAAAGAACTCCCGTGTGCTGAGAGTATTGGAGACACATTAAAAATTAGTTAAAAATTACTTGAACTTGAGATATTGATAGAAACGCAGAAAACTAATTATGCAAATAAGGTAACTGATATGAACAGATTTAAGTGTAAAACTAATAAGGTCTTCACAATGTACCAAGTTTCATTGAAATGTGATTAGAACCCCCAAAATATTAATTATTATGCTAATTAGAGTATTAATATAAACAGATTTTAACCCAAAATTAATCAGGCTGTCTATTGTCCTAGAGCATTTATGTACCAAGTTTTATTCAAATGTGATTATCAATACTTGAGATATCAGTATTAATTAATTATGTTAATTAGGTGATTAAGAAGCATAAATATTTACCAAAAACTAATATGGTGTATAGTCCTAGGTTCATTGAAATGTGATGGGTACTCTTTAAAAGTTTCATTAAAATCCAATGAGTGTTTTTTTAGACATCAGTGCAACAGCCATAGAACAGCAAAAAAATAACTAATTATGCAAATTAGGTAATTAATATGCACAATTATTTATCCCAAAATTAATCAGGTCTCTGCATGTCGCAAGTCTCATTGAAATGTGATGATTAGTACCTGAGATACATTTGTATCAGGTGAAAAGCTGAAAATTAACTAATTAAGCTAATAAGGTGATTAATATGCACAAATATTTACCCCAAAACTGATTAGGTC